GTAGAGAATTTTGGAACAATATTTGATACATTCTTTACACTATAGGAACTTTAGGTCCTTTGTTCTGTAGAGAAATTTTTTTAAAAATTTTGATACTTTTTTTTAAACAGAATAGAATTATATTTAATTTTGTTATTTATAACAAATATTATTAATATAATTCATTCTCCAGATAAAACTTTTAATTATTTTAAAGATATTGGTGAAGCTGATGGAGGGTCCCTTAAGGGTGGATGCCTAGCTAAACATATAGAAGGCTGTTTAATACTTTATTGATTTTCGTATTTTTAACTTATTTTATATATTTAGTTATTAAGTTTTATTTTTAAAGAATATATAATGATCAATATAATTAGGGGTGGTCAGAGAAAATCTTTGATTTTTGATGACGTGGGTAGCTGGTCATTGAGACGGTAGTCGAAACCCTAGAATAACGGTAGTTACTCTAAACACTTGCCTACAAGTGCCTCATGAACAGTGTTCAATAACGTCAGCTGTTATTGTAATAAACTTTTTATCACCATAGCTAAATCTAATATTCCTCCATTACATATATATATTTTTTTAATTTTTTTGATATTTATTTATAGATTGTTTTCTCTCTATTTTTTCTTTTTTTTTAGGTACATGTAGTTTACTATGTTGAGAACATAGAAAATCAGGTTTATTGTCACTAATATTTGTTCTTATTTTCTAATGACACATATATCCTTCTTTTTTTCCTCTTTTATAAATATATGAACATATTTATTACTGCTATTGATATACCAAAAATTGTTTGTTTTTCTTTCTTCTAATTTTTCCTTTATGATATTTTTCATTAGTTTTTGTTTTTTTTCTTTCAAATCACATAGAATTTCATCATCAAAATATTTATCCATAACTTGAGTCATGATATCTTTCATTGAGCTTATCATAGTTTGTTTACATACAAGGATTTCTGTGTTGAGGATCACCATTTTCTTTATTAGTTAATATTATTGTGATTATATTTTTATATTATAAAAAATATTCAATTTTGTTTTAAAATTCAGCTGATAATTAGAAATTTGGTGATAGCAAGTTATATAGTAATAAACCGATTAGTCCTCTCTCATACGATTTTTTGGATGACGTAGTCGATGATGATTCAGAGAATGAGGCACCTGAAAATGTAGAAGCAGATCTTTGCTAGTAAATTAAAGAGGTGAATATCGATACCCGTGTCGTCAACACTATATCTTCATATAGAGGAAAAACAGAGTTGAATTTGCACGAAAAAGAAACAGCATCACCTGTACGATACTTTCTACGGTTTCTTCCTGAATCATATATAAAAAATGTTGTGATAGCTGCCATCAATGAAAACGTGCATTCCAACTTGACTCCTTTCCAAGACATCACCTATTCTGAATATCTCATCTGGATTGCACTTTTTATAATTATGACGACCGTACGCATCGACAATCATGACACCTATTGGCACCAAGGAAGTTTTCCATTCCAACTAACAATGAGCTTCTCTGATTACATGGCCAAAGACCGGTTCAAGGAAATAACACGAATGCATATCTTCACTGGACCGGATGTTGCAAGGTACATTCACTATAGATGATGCTCCAACTTTATTTGGCTAACTAATATATTTGTGCTTGTCATGTTCAAGGAGAAATGATGTTCCATCGTATCAAATACGAGGGTTTCTGCAAGCTTACAACGATAACTTAGCAGAAGCGTTGATACCAGGCCAGTATCTCTATGTAGATGAATCAATGAACTAATGGCTAGGCACTGGAATGCCGAACCTAATCAAAATACCTTGAAAGCCACATCCTATTGGCCAGGAGTATAAGACTACAGCAGACACGAATACTTGCTGTATTATACGTCTTGACATGACTGGCGACAAATGGGTTCAAAGGCAATTTGAAAATAAATATGAGAAGAAGTTAGTGGCTACAGTATCACGATTAACGCAACCTTGGTTTCATTCTGGGCGAACGATAATTGCCGATTCACTTTTTGGCTCTCCAAATATGGTCCGTACGATGAAAAGTGATAATAAGGAGTTATCTTCGGGGATTGGCTTGGGTCACAAAACTGAGTCACCAGCCAAATTGTGACCTTACACACAATAATCGCATTGTAGAAAAAAATTGAGTACCCACTAGGTCACTGCTATGAATCATTTATGACACATCTTGCATATGCCTTTGACATGACACACATCCTTAGACTCAACAAGCGTAGTAGTAACAATGCAATAACACGTACATTAACTCATTCTCAATTAGATGAGCATCAGTGTTTTCTTTGCTATTACAAATAATATAAATAAAAGACCGTTTACTATTCTCAAAAATGTTGCCTTTATTTATTTGCAATACATTTCCAACTTTTCAAGCTCTCTACTTTTTTCTAACACATCTTTGTCAATTATGTCTCTCAACACCACCGCCAGCTCCTCTACGTATCAGGCCTCGCAAATGGCTATGCATGAATCTATGAATGAAACGCACCGTGAAGCACTCGAAGCACGCCCAGCCAACACGAAGAAAACCTATGTCAACAAGCAAACGGAATACCGTCAATGGTGCGATAGAATGATGCCATATTTGCCTACAGAAACTCGTTATATTGTTTATGGCGACAAGCTCCATTTGTTTCTCAAAGAAGAGGTATGTACAATAATTATGAAATGTGCGACTTCAAATTCATAGTTTTGCTGTACTGCTTCTTAGCTTATACAATCTCAATTAACAGGTCATGAACCATGATGCTCGTCGCAAGGGCAAAGGATCGACCCAGCTCAAGAAAATCAAAGCTTCCACTTTCATGAGCTACGTTGCCGCCATCGTCGATTTATATCAGCAACAAGTTCGTTCGTTTGCCAATAGTCATCCTCATCCAAGTAGCGCTGTCAAGGAACTTATCGACCTCGTCCAAATCCGCGAAGAAAGCCAACAACGTGAAAATTACGACGAACGTGCACTTGGAACATTGATCGATGGATATACGACCACCGATCAGATTGCCGACGTTGTCGATTACTATATGGCCAAGAATGAAGGGTCTCACTTGTGCAATGCTCTCGCATTTTTGCTTTCTCACTATTGTTTGTTGCGAAGCAAGTCGGCACAGAAGGCTACCTTACCCGATATGCACAGTGTCGAATTGGAGCGTGAAGGCCCGTCTGAATGCCATTCCCTCATGATGATTATCAAGCAAGGAAAGACAAACAAGCACAGTCGTCTGGAACTTGTCACCTGCATCCGGAACACTCGCGTCGAGATATGCCCCTTCATGGCTCTTTCTTTTTATTCTTTCTGGCATTGCCATGTCGAAAACGAACCATTCCCCGTCTTCACTCATAGCCAACATTGGTATAATATCCGCTTGCTCAAGAGCACCTCTCCTTCCGCCACCAACACCACCGAAATCTCATATCAGCAGCAACTTCGAGCGATCGACGAGGCGTTTGCCAAATGTAACATTGTCTCCTCTAAGAAGACACATGCTGCCCGTGGATCCTTATGCAAGATGGCAAATTTGGATGGTGCCGACGAGGCGCAGATAAGACGATTATGCAGATGGAACAACACTACGATGAATGGTGCTTACTTGACAAGTCTTCCTCGTGAAGTCATGCGCGTCTTGGCCGGCTTTCCTGCTCAACAGGGTCACTTCTTTCTGCCTCGTGCTGCCGTTGACCCTCCTTAAGAATTCCGTAAAAAGATTATTCCTCGTGTCGAATACTGGCTGGAAACAATTCGACCTGATCAAGTGGCAGCCGCCGGGTTTCTGCGTCTCTTAGGTGTTCTGCGCGTTACGTTTCTTCAAGACGCTGTGCTTATGCAAGAAAAGTATCCACATCATCCAATTTTTCTCAATCATATATTCAGAGAGCCGCTATACATCCAGTTCAAAGAGTAAGTATTGATTTTAAAAAGTGCACAAGATGATCATTAATATGGTACTTATTGTTGTTACTATTTTAACAATTAGAGATCTTCAACGATCCATCCAAGAAGATGCCACCCCTCAAGATCTGCTCTTGCAACGTGCCGTACCTCACCTTGAGCAACATATGAGCACGATGAACAATGAAATGGTTTCACGATTAGATGCAATGCAAATGCAGATGGAAAATATGACGAAGAACCTTTCTGACCTCGTATCCGGCCGTGCGACAGTAAACCTAAGCATCAATTGGCCATCATCATCATCAGCAGCACCATCCAGAGCAGCAGCCAACAACAGCAACAGTTACATCCATCCCGAGTTCAGCACCTTCTGAATCATTGGGTCTTGATGCAACGAGTGAGCCACCGTTTTACATGATGAGCCGGGGAATCAAGACTGTCACTGACCTTTGGGCAGAGTGGTTGGTTGGGCTTGCTGGAGGCTATACAGTGAAAACACTGGAACAACGTTGGGGTGCAAAATGGAGAAACGGCGATCGCAAGTTCTTCAGTCGCAGAATCAAGATCATTAAAGAGGTCGAGCGATTTGCCTCTGCCAAAGGGATTTCGGAAACGACAGCAGCAGCAATGGGTGAAGAAAGGCGCAATGCTCTTGGACTTAGCTTAAAACGAACTTAACAAATAGGTGACAACGATTTTCCAAAATATTTAGGTGTTTAGCTCTTTTCTCCCTTTGCTACTTGTTCAGCAGACCCACTTAAACTATTTACTTGAAATAAATGAAACATATTTTGTTTGAAGAAGATAAGAAGCGTCGCTTATTGTGAAATATCTTTGCGTCATATGTTTTAGATTTACTGTTGTAATGGCGAAATCGCAAGTATAATATAATGAATTTGAAAATGGCATATATGACAATGACAGGTAGTAGCATAGCAGCGGTATCAGAAACAAAAGGACAGAGAGTAATATTATTATTTTGTGACCCACACAGTAATAACTCCATTTATTTCTCATATAGATGGCAGAAAACAAGTGTTATTTCTTGCGGGTCCCAAATTTTGCAGGTGACCTGCTGTGACATGTCAGGACATTGACATGGCTCTTCCCGCTAAAGATCCAGATTCGCCACTTCCGGCGAATCAAACCGACCACACCTCTACTCCATCTCAACCTCCACCCTCTGCTGCTACCTCACCCTCACCCTCCACGTCTAAAGGCAAACAGACCAATGTCTCCTTCCGATCATATGCACAAGCGACTAAAGGTCACTGCATTACTACTCTTGGCCAAGTAACTGGTTCTGAATACCTTACCAATACGACTTCCGCCAACAACTCGACCGATGATACTGCTCAAGCACTAACGAGTCAGCCTCTTTTTCGACGAGGCTCTGAAGAATTCAGCATCTTTTACGATGTTACTGGTGACAAATTAGGTCCCAAAGCTTTTTTCGATGCCGCTAGGGCACGATTCCCCACTGGTGTTGGCCTTGGTAGACTAACGCATCGTGATAATGGCCGTGTTCTTGTCGAAATCATTTTGAATTCTGAACAATCGTGTACCCAAGCTTGTGAAACCCCTCTTCAGGTTACAGACGAGGTGTCGTACACTGCTACTCGTTCGCTTCCACCGGATAACGAAGTATTCCGGGTCACTTTGGACAAACTCCCGATAATCCCACTCGTCGATCTGGAAAAAGGGCTACGATCTTGCCTATCGCAATACGGTCGCATCCTATATCTCGGCTTGTATGACGACGTCAATGGTGGGTGGTTCTGTGGTCGTGGTTTTGCGGTTTTGTGTAAACTCCTACGGACGATTTTGCCCCCCTGACACACCGCATGGCTTCTTGTTTCTCTGCCGGAAACACGGTTCGTAGCTTCCTTGCAACATGGGCGGATATGGGAGTATATTGTCGTTATTGCCATGATACCACCCACAGTATCAGTCGTTGTCCAGACCGACCGACCCGCGTGTGTTTCAATTGTGAGCGTCCGGGTTACCTCCAACGCAATTGCCCCGAGCCTGCAAACCCTTATAAACATACAAAAAAAGCCAACACCGGCACCAAGGTGGAGCCCAAGACGTTTACGTTTAATGCAGCCCCTGGCACAAGCAAGTCCGCGGAAACGATGCTCCCTGCCGCGCGTAAATCAATTAAACGCAGGCGAGCTGGCAGTAAACCGTCGCAACCATTATTTATCAACGCGACCAGCAAGACGAATTTCGCCGCCCCGGTTGATAACCAGACAGAACCTCCCGTTCAAGACCAACAATCGAGCAAAACCGAAGTCAACAAGGCATCGAATGAGGGTGAGCAATCCCTGGTAGTTCCAGCGACAAAACCAGCAAGTACGCAATCCGCTGAGGCCGACCCAGAGCACCCTATTTCCAGTCACCAAAGGGACGAAGACGCAGATATGGCCTCCGGAGATGAAGAACCTGATGACTCTGGTGGTTCCGCTAAGGACTCCACCAGACGCAGCCACTCCAAATAGGAGGGCTGCCTCTTAATTTAACAACAACTTAACCATGATTAAGTTCGCATCCCTTAATTGCCGCCGCCTGACTAAGGTAGGTGGCTCAAAACAAACACAACAAAAAAAACAACAACATTATATTCGATACCTCCGTTCTATGCACTTTGATATATTGGCACTCCAGGATACAAAATTTCCTAGTGAAGATGCTGAGCAACGTATTACTAACCAATTTCAGGCTAATCAATGTTACTGGTCCACCTTTTGTGGTCTTGTATCCTTTTCTCCTCAAATTCTCCTTACCCCACTCTTCTCCTCTCGGGATGGACGGGCCCTCTGGGTTACGATATCCCATGTCAATTCGTCTTTTGAACCGTTTCATGTCCTCAACATATATGCTCCTGCAGAGCGTCATTCTCGACACACATTTTTCCACAACCTTCTAGCCATCTTTAATCTTGACTCTTTTTCACTACCACTTCAGCGATGTGTTCTCGTTGGCGATTTCAATTATTCTTACTCTCGCTCTGATTCTTCTTATCTTAGTGCTCCTAATAAATGGATCTCCTTTCTTTCTTCTACCTTTTTCAATCTTATGCAGCCCCCCAATGACAATATATCCCCTCCTATCACCTTTAAATCTCAGACTGGTCATTCATGCATTGATTACATTTTCTCTTCCCCCGACCTGTACCCTATCTTTTCTCCGCCAACCATTGAGTTTATAGACTATCAATGGAGTGATCACACTATAGTATGCAGTAATATGCGTCTCGCTATATCCTCCGGCAAAGGTGTGTGGCGAGCGAATCCGCTACTATGTCGTTCTGAGACCTTCAAGCAAACCTTGTATCACGATCTAGAGTCCTTATGCGAATCGTTTTCACCTACTCTTTCCCCTCAAGAGCAGTGGGATCAGGTGAAATATCAAGTCAAACTCACATGTCAAAAACTAGGAAGGAAACAGGCGTCCCGTCGACGTCAAGAGATCAAGCAGCTACAGCGGCAGCGTAACAATCTACTCTCGCGTCCAGATGGTGCACATCGAAACGCGAGTCAGGTACTTAGTATTGAAGCAGAAATCACTCGTCTGCAACAAGAAGCAATGGATATACTCGCACTCCGAGCATCGAGCAACTGGCGGGAAGATGGCGAGAAATCGGCAGGATATCTGAAACGCTCCATTCAGGCGCGCACTACACAACGAGCCATTCCGCCCCTTCAACATCCTTCCACCGGTATTGTAGACTCCTCCATATCTCACCTCCATGAATCTGTTTGCGCATTCTACAGTCATCTGTACACTCCTACCCCTGTCTCTAGTACAGCCGTCGATGATTTATTATCGCATCTTCCCGCTTCATGTGTTTTGTCGCCTATTGCCCGCAACAGTTTAACTGCACCCATTACCCTGACCGAAATACTAACCCAAGCAGAAAGATGCCCCAAACAAAGCAGTCCTGGCTTAGATGGCATTCCGTACCAAATCCTATTGACCGTCCTCCAACATCCTCGAATGCAAGCTTTAGCGTGTCAAGTATATAATGATGCTCTTAACCATGGTCAGTTTCCTCAATCATGGATGCAAACCTGTATATGCTTGCTCCCCAAAAAAGGGGATCTGTCTTCATTAGCCAACTGGCGCCCCATCTCCCTCATTAACACTGATGCAAAGATCTTTACCCGCATTTTGAATAATCGTATGATATCAGTTGCTGCTAAGCTTGTCAATAATCTTCAAACAGGTTTTGTCCATGGAAGATATATAGCGGATAATGGCATGCTGGTCCGATTGATTATGGACCACGCGCAAAAACACGAAATCCACTCGGTCGGCCTGCTAATTGATGAAGAAAAAGCGTATGATCGCATTCATCCCGAGTACCTTCGTCGCGTTCTTTTACATTGGGGTTTCCCGGACAGTCTAGTAGTTTGTATTATGCAATTATTTTTTGGCACGCGGATATCTGTTAATGTCAATGGTCATCTATCCCCTACCATACTACAACAACGCGGTGTTCGCCAAGGCGACCCGTTGTCCCCATTACTGTTTAACCTTGCTATTGAACCTTTGCTACAGCGCATCTTGCATGACCCTGCAATATAAGGATACTCGATACCCAGTTCAATCCCCGGGTTTCAAGGTCCTTCAGCTGCAAAGGTGCTTGCGTACGCTGATGATGTGCTGGTATTCCTTCACAACGAGGAAGACTTGCGACGTTGTCTGATCCATTTTGAAACATACGCTGCTGCTTCGAACGCACAGGTTAATTACCACAAGACCCATGCTATCTCTTTATCGGGCTCTGCCTCATCTACCTGGGCTAACATACTGGAAAGTCATGGTATTCGCTCTTGGCACGACAAGACCTCTCAGCAAGCTCTGGTTTACCTCGGCTATCCTCTGTATACATGCACTCAACAACGCGATCTCTTTGGTCACCAACTTCTGGCGAAAATCAAAGCTGCGTGTGCACTTCATTCGCAATGGAACTTATCTGTGCGTGGTCGAGCCACTGTTCTCAATGTTCTTCTCCTTTCCTCATTATGGCATGTTCTCCGCCTAATCCCCTTCCCTAAATCTTTTTTTACTTCATTACGTTCCATCTGCTATTCTTTCATTAACCAGAATATGTTTCCCAAAATTTCATACGATACCTTCTTACTTCCCCGAGATCAAGGTGGCCTAGCTCTCCTCGACCCTTCAATTCAGCAGCTCAGTCTGCAGTTTCGCTGGCTTCTGCCCCTTGTTTATCAACCCCATCGATATTACTCCTTCGTACAACCTTGGCTTCTATCTCTTCTTAACTCACTCTGTCACCCTCATGACGGCTTATTGTGCCTTTTCTTTCCATCTCTTCGCCCTTCTTCCTTTTCTGTATCCACTTCTCTATGGGGCTTATTGTGCTGTGCACTGGATGCATGTCCCAAAGACCCAGCTCTTTTTCGACCCTCCTTAGATTTAATTCTGTCATTTCCTTTGGACGCTACTGTCTTACATACTTCTCCCACCCCGCCCCCTGTCCTTGGTCGCTTGGCCAAGAACAAAGTTACAGTAGCTGATGCCTTTGATATGAATTTGCAAACCCGCACTCTGACTCGCAAACCTAATCATTCGTTCTCACACCGCAACATTACCATCCAATTTTTTCAGCACATTGAGTCACAACTTTTGTCCTATTACCCTTTCTTTAGTCAATTTTATCAAAATCGTCCGAGTACACCTCTTCCTTTCTACTCCTCTATTGAGGCCCTACTAGCCAGTATCACTTTTGCTAACCCCCTAAAATCATTATCTACTCGACTCTTCCGTCGCACGGTAACCCCACAACTCATTAATAATCCAAATTCTTCCTTTATAGAGCCTCTGGAGAAACGACAATGGAAGCGATTTTGGTTGGAACCCGTGTCTCACACCGCTCGTAATGTCTGGTATCGTGCACTCCATCAAAAAATTTCATGTAAAGCCATCCTACACTATACAATTCCAAGTTCATTCCCCTCTCCCAATTGTGTTTTCTGTTCGGATACTCCCGATACTATCACTCATTTTTTATATGCTTGCCCTATTAAGTGGACTATATGGTACACCATCTGGTGTGACCTTTTCCTTTTTTCTCCTACCTTTTCACAAGTCCATCATGCAATCTTTTCTTTATCCTTCCCCTCCAATCCATCCGCAGTCAGTAGCCACATGATCATTTCATGTATCCTACAGGGTCTGTGGTCTGCTCACTGGCGCTATGTTTTTGATCAAGTGCCCTTCTTACACGACAACATTTGCCGTGATATTCATTTCCTCATCACTTGTACTCGGCCTCTGATATCTTATGAACCGCCTTAACTCTACCTACATGTCTTGCATCTATCTTGTACATAATTATATACAAAAAAAAAAAAAAAAAAAAAAAAAAAAAAAAACATACATAACATCCACCAAGCATCCGAAGCACACCCACACCTGTTCCAACCATCCGCTCCGTCGCCCTCCGCCACGCTCTTGACCTTCGTCATTCATCGATTCCGCCTCTTCATTGTCTCCGCTTTTATTCCCTTGATCTCTTGTCTATATCTCTTTCGTTCCCCGATACGTATAGGCAAATAAAACTTGACCCACGGTCACCTACAAAAAAATGTCAGGACATTGAGGTTGTATAATGGGTTATATTCAATAATGCAACTGAAGAAGCGGCGCTATTATCCAGTGGGCATGCCACAGCAAGATCCGATCCAGGCGATAGCATATACATGCAATCAACTAGTGACGAAGTCTATGTAGCAGCTTTACGTGATATCAAACTAAAAATAGTTATTGCGAACTACAGTACTACAACTAAAAGCGACAAAGAAATTAAGCGATACTTAAAGGACACTAGTACCGTTGAAATGATGCGTCGTCCTAAAGTATTTGATAAATCTGAAGCATACAAGGGTACATACAGGATTTCTCCTTATGATTGGCGGTGCTTTTTTTCTCATGATGGCGGGGTTCTTTTCTTACTATGGCGTTTGGGGGTCTGTTGATTAGCGGTGTGTTTTTTGTAATTGGCAGAAGCTGAAAATTACAATGGCGGTCTGCTTTTTGTGATTGGTATAAGGTGAAAATTACAATAGCGGTGTAATAAGATTCATGTTCTATACTAGAGTAACAGATAATTGTTGGTTTTTTACTTTGGAGTTTGAAAATTTATTTTACAAAAAAAACATATGAGTATGAACAAAACAAGGATAATTAAGATAATAAAAACTACAACATTTTCTCTCCATTGATACAACGAGGCAGAAACAAAAGTGAATGTCTTATCCAACCTTGGCAATCTTGGGCAGAGACTTGATTAGCAGAGTCAGCAATCCATGGCAGCAACGTATCATCCGTTGTCAACAAATTGCGTTTGACACCGGCTTTCAGCTTCGACCAAAATTCTTCGATCGGGTTGAGGAAAGGGGAATATGGAGGAAGGTACAGGATATCGAATCCTTGCTTCGCCACTGCGTCCCTCACTTCTGCTGTCTTGTGGATAGTGGCATTATCCATTACATAAGTTCTACCTCCCATGTTATTTTCCTTCAATACTTCCATGAGCACCTCCAAAAACTTGATATAGTGCTCTGCCTGCGTACCGATCTTGCCCACAACCTTTTCCTCGCCATCGCGGAGTTTGCGTTTTTTCGAGCCAACAACTGCCTGTGGTCTTCTAAGGCTGAGGTTGACCACGCCTTCACCAGTTATCGCTCCCAAGATCGTCATATTCACACCACGGGACCTCGAAACCAAAGCCCTGGCTGGAGCACCTCGACGCGAACGACCAAAATTACGCTTAATGTGCATATTAAAACCAGCTTCGTCAATAAAGATACACTTGTAGTAGTCCATGCCACTGGCTTCGAACGCATGTGCCCAATTCATGCGGGAGGCAATCGTTTCATCCAAGTTGCGATATTCGGAAATCCGTTCCAGCTTCTTCATGGTAAGCCCACATTTGCTCACAAGATGCTTTTGTAGGCCACTTTGGGTGATGTTGATACCGAATCAATCGATAAGGGATTGCTGTGCCTCTTTCAGGGTCGCGTCTGACTTGGTGTCATAATAAGCCTGGAGGAATGTGGTATGTTCTGGTGTTAACGTCGGTGGGGGACCGGGAGATTTGCCCATTGTGCTCGGAAGATATGATTCACCATCAGCAAAGCGTTTCTAGTATCTCTGTGCAGTTCGTTCAGGGATCAAGAGGTCGCGTCCAGCTTCTGCAGCGTTTAAGGTAATGTTTTGAATTCTGTCGATAAGTTGGATTATTTCTAAGTCTCGATATACTCGATGAGCCCCTATAGATTTAGAGTTCAAGGTTAGATATTGAAAGCAACTGAAGTTTTAGCAATAATAAGTAACTTACTTTTTGGAACAATGTTTTCTTGCTGAATGTTTTTGCGAGGTCTTCCCTTGACCTTTTTCACTGTTGCTTTTTGGGTGGCTACAGTGACGGTCGAAGTGGGGGTTGGAGGATCCGTTAACATGGATGTGGAACATGCCTATCATATTAACGACCATCAGTTAATAACAAAAAACTCGTAAAACAAGAAGATTTTAATTAGGTACCTGTGGTATATTTTTCCTCTTGGTCATTGATACAAGTGATTGGACACCACCAGTAAAACTATTACACTCGTCGGACACAATTTCATACACATCGTCTACTTCCATCTCATCTTCATGGATATCAACGTCGGTATCGTGTGGGAGTATCAGATTTTCAATAGATGACATGGTAATAGTTGAGTAAAGATCTTGAACGAAATGTAAGCACAAGCTACAGCAGAAAAGCTGTACTGGTTTTATACTTTTTGTTTGCCGCAATATACATATTTGGTAACACAAAGTTGAAGGTTTTTCATATAAGTGACAAAGAAGATGAGACAGGACAAAGCGCAGCTGTACCACGTAATACAGTGAATGCTATATTTTGAGCATAATCATAATTATAAACATGTTTACTCTATTTTACTATTAAACTAAGAAAATCCCAAAAAGATAAAATTTGTATATCTTATTGTAAGATAGTCGTCAAAATATCATCGTCAACTTGGTTGATCATGCTTGCTTGACGAGGACGGACTGGAGCTGGTCGTGGAGACACTTAGGGGCAATACGTGTGGATGAGCCTGGCGGTTGTTGTCTTTAGCATGTCACCCCTACTCACAGATTCTTCCATGGTATGTCCTTCCCAGAAGTAAGCACGAAGGACAGAAACAATATCATCCTTGGTGTATTGTCGACGTTGCCGACGTTATTGTCATGGTAATGGTGATGGTGATGTTGTTGGAGTTGATGCTGGTGGGGAGTATGGCAGTGGTGGTGGTAGTTGTAATTCTTCATCAGCCTCAGCGAATGGTAGCGCCATATCGAATTCCATGGCATCTCATTCTTGCATCTCAACCTCGTCTTCATAATAGTCCAGATCTTCGGTGTTCATAGTGGTATGGGTGTCCAAGGTCATTGTGTATTATGTTTTGAATGATTCCGAAAGATGTTATTTGACTCCGGCTTAAATACTTTTTGGTTCACATTTTACAGATGTATAAAAACTCAGGCACAAACAAAATAGTACAGCTTATAGCCACTCCAAGCTACTTTTTCCAGTTCTGCAATTGGGACATGTCATGTTCGAGCGAAGAAATAGCATAGGCACATTGTTGCATATACGAGATTCTTTGAGTTTTGATTCACTGATGGGATAAGTCATGGTCGGTAGAATGAGCACTATGTTGGCCCTACGATTGGGACATGTCATGGTCGAGCGAAGCAACAGCATAGGCATATCGTTGCACACAAGAGATTTTTTGAGGTTTGATTCACCGATTGGATAACTCACGGTCAGTAGAATGAGCACTATGTTGGCCCTACAATCGGGATATGTCATGGCCGAGTGAAGAAACAGCATAGGCACATTTTGCTCCACATAAGACGGTAATTAGGACGAGATCCGTTCCTTGGTGTGGAACAATGTGCCTATGCTGTTTCTTCGCTCAACCATGACATGTCCTAAATGTAGGGCCAATATAGTGTTTGTTTTACCGATCATGACTTATCCCATCGGTGAATCAAAACTCAAAAAATCTCTTGTGTGCAACATTGTGCCTATGCTATTTCTTCGCTCGACCATGACATGTCCCAATCATAGGGCCAACATAGTGCTCATTCTACCGACCATGACGTATCCCATCAGTGAATCAAAATTCAAAAAATCTCTTGTGTCCAACAATGTACCTATGCTATTCCTTTAATATAATATGGGGACCTTACCGCCTTTGTTACAGACTCCCTATTCAAACCAAACAACATTTCTCATGAACAACCTGGCTCTTACCGGCAAAGAAATACATGAAACCATCGATGTCGCTGAGGGAGAAGATCCATATATTGGTATGCTTGCTTGTACAATCGTTATTACAGCTTTCTAAAGCTTTGATAGAGGAGTTTATTAGAACTTTAAATGCAATGCGAGCAGGGGAAGAATATGAACCATCCAATGGACTTCCTTCAGTCTTGGAAATCCGAAAGCTAGAAGAAGAAATTGTAAGATTAAAAGAAATCTCGAAATGAAAGCAGACGAAATGGGACAAAGAGAATCCAGAAATCAAGGAGGCAATAATACGATGCGCAATCGAGAATAAAAGATATGACAGAACGATTGTCTAAAAGCTACAATGCATCGATGGGCCAAGCAGTTTAGAGAAACAAAAGCATGTGCAGAGGCAGTAAAGTGAGAAATTGCCGATGCAGAGAAACTTTTGGAGCTCACAAAAATCCAGAGTTGCACCAACCTGACCAGTCCAAATAAAAGTATTTGAACACGAATGAAAAGAAATAGACTCAATGTACTACATCTAAAAACATCATAGATTCCAATATACCACTTTTTATTTTCCCTGACTTTGATACTGACATATACGATCCCTTTCATCGAACGATCCTAAATTTGGACCCCAATTCCCAGATGGCATTTCCAGTGGATCCTATCATAGATAACCAGATGGATCTTGGTAAGTTCCAAGTATAATTTATTCCCGAAATGCATGTTGTCTCAACTATACACGGAATTATTCATAAAATATTTCTATAAGGCCATATGGTGCAATCTCAAGTTTTAGAAGGCCTAGAGCAAGCAAGAACAAGGGATATCGTCACCTAAGCAACGAAGACGAACCTTTTCCGGCTATATTTTGAGGAGAAGATGACGATAGCTGCTGCAGCAGAAAAAGCAAGAATGCGTCATTCCACCATAGGAAAACATATTGCAATGGAACGACGCCGTCGTAATAATAAATAACCATATTTACATTCAAACATTTTAAATTTGGAATGGATTATTGTTGTTCGGCGTCCGTGTAGTTTTGAAGTTGAAGTCTGGTATATTAAAGTCGAAGTTTGGTAATGGTGCACCTATGTTATATCAACAGGTGATTTTAAGGCGCCATCTGTTGAAATTACACCGCTATTGTAATTCTCACCTTATGCCAGTCACAAAAAGCAGGCTGCCATTGTAATTTTCAGCTTCTGCCAATTACAAAAAACACACCGCCAGACAACAGACCTCCAAACGCCATAGTAAGAAAAGAACCCCGCCATCATGAGAAAAAAAGCACCGCCAATCATAAGGAAAATCCTGTATGAATATATAGAGTAGTGAAATTCGTAAAGAATGACGAGTCTACTTACTTAAAGCCCTTGTATTAGGTGCAGCCGATATTGCTAATAACTGGAGGGATTATTTAGTCTCGTTCCATGGAGGGTAAACCTTAGCATTATGATTTTAGTAAAATGATGATTAGCTAAAAAATTATAGATACTATAATTTTAACATAATTATCATAAATGATGAAATTAATCTTTTAAAAAAAAATCTCAAACCCTAAATAATTCTTAACCAATATGATTATCTTTAATCATTATGTTTAGGAAAAACGAGGCTAGGAGGAATGACGACACCCAGTTCAATTAAAAATCAATGAAGTTAGATTTTTATTAGAACGCTTGATATGAAAGACATAATAAAATTAATTTGCTATTTCCAGTAAAATTAATTATGATGGATTGAATCCCCATGATGTAATGAAGATGTACCGTTGGGAGATGTGATGCTTAGCTTTTTCTCTGGCTATAGCTGAGGCTAACACGTATTCAGCATTCAAATATTTCGCAAATGACACAAGAAATATACTACATACCAGTTTTCAGACTCATCTTGCACAGACACTATTGCAATATACACAATCTTTCGGAATGGAAACTAACGACGATGTAGTTCGGAGCCTTCAAGACATAACAAACATTGTATGGCAAACAGAACTTAAGCATAAAGCAATACCAATTGGTTTAACCAAAAAAGGTGCTGGAACCAATCACTTAAAAAGGCTTTGTACTTATAATAGCTGCTCAATACGATCTTCTTTGAGATGTATTTGTGGAACTGACAGCGTATATTATAAATTATATATGGTGAGGCATACAGAAAAAAAATAATCAATGAGTTTTTTATATGGTGTTTGCAAAATGTTAATATCTCGTCATTTGTAACATATAGCAACCTATTATACATATAGTTTAAATAAGTTCAAGCAGTACATCTTAGATATGTAGCAAGTGGCATTTAGCCTGTATTCTAAACTAGCTAATATACAATTTAAAATAGTCCAAAATTGGACTTACAGAATTTCTTCATAATCAAGGGAAGTTAAAATGGGTATTAAATAACCAGAAATATAATATCGAGACTTCAAAACTAGAGGACAGTAAGTCTTTGCTCCTAAAAAGCTAGATTAAAACAGTTTATTTTTTTTCTTTGTCGTTGAATAATAAAAAGTCTAAAATTCAACTCAGAATAGCGTTGGGACCTATTAAAAGTAAAAATTCTGTAATAATATTTGGTTGAATTATACTTTATGGTACATATTTTAAAGTCAGAGATATAAAATTTAAATTTATTTCTTACATATTTTTAATTCTAAAATTGAATTTTACAATTTCGTATAAAATAAAAGATATCAAGAAGAGAATATATAAAAACTTCACCTTTAGAAAGAAAAAAAAGAAAATAATAAATAGAAGTATACTAGATATAAATGAAAATATAGATGAAAATATTAGAGACAATACTAATAATGATAATAATAATAACCTAAATATAAAATATAATATAAAATATTTCAATAAATAGAAAAAATAAATTATCAGCAACATGTTTTAAATAAAGATGAAAAGTCTTCTTTAGAAAATATGAGTGAAGATATTGTTGGATATATCAATAGAGTTTATAAAGATAATAATAATAGAGATAATTATGAAGATAATAATGAAGATATTATAGATTATAAAGAAGAAATGGATAAATATAATATAAAATATATAAATGAAATGAGGTTTGCATTTAATTATTATAATCTTGACGAGAATAAGACGAGAATAAAAGATATAAATATTTGAATAAACATTATCATCTCTTAATAAAATATAAAAAATTAGAAAATAGAATAATAAAAATAAAAATAAAAATGATTAAAAAAGATTACAATAACTATATAAATAATTTATGAGAAATTGACAAAAAGTTGAAAGTATTAGAAAAAAATTTTATTAAATTTTATAATGATAATTTAACTTTATGTAAAGAGATATCATATAGAATTAAGGTTGGGAATGATATTTCATATTGTAAAAAACATTTACCTCACTACTGTGAGAAATGCAATTACATATGTAATATAAATAATAAAACAGATAAATTATATTATAATAAAAAGTATAATATTATTAATTATTATAAAAAATATACATATAAAATATATTTTGATAATTACTGTAAGAATTATAAAATAGAAAATATTTTTTATATTATTGACGAAAAAGACAAGTTTATAAAACAAAAAAAGCTTGAAGTAAAAATATATCTAAATATTAAAAGATATCTTGAATTTTTTGATGAAATAGAAGATAAAAATATATTACAAAAAAAAGAAGTACTTGAATTCATTAATTATAATATAGGTGATTATAATGACTTTACTAAATACAAAATTTATAATAGATTAAAAAGAAGTAAAGATTTAATAAAACTTTTTGCCGAAAATTTAAAAAATATAAGAATTAAAACATCTTTCTATTCATATATAGGATTTTTTATCTCTTAGAGGACATTTGAACTTTTATTTAGGCAAAAGGGATTTAATTTTAGGTAGAGTAGATATGAATGTTAATCTGAGTAGACATGAATGAAAATCGAGCTGGATATAAATGAAAATCGATCTGGACATGAATGAAAATTGATCTGGATACGAATGAAAATCGAGCTGAACATGAATGAAAATCGAGCTAGACATGAATAAAGATCGAGCTGGACATGAGTATAAAACCATCTGGACATGAATATAAATCGACCTAGACATGAATATAAATCGATCTGGACATGAGTAAAATCAATCTGGACAAGATAAAAATCAATCTGTACATAAAAGAAAATCATTCTCAACAAGAATAAAAATGAATCTAAACATGAATAATAGACAACCTAGACATAATAACAGTCAACCTAGACATAGTTTTAGTCAACTAAGACATAATAAAAGTTGAAGTAGATAATATATTAAGTGTAGCAGAGCAGAATATTTGAGTACTTAAGATTTTCAATTCAAGTCAAGATATAATAGAAGTTAAGTAGTACAAAGCCAATGTCAAGATGTAGTAGTATGGCTGGTTCACTCGTGACAGAAGCTTGTAGGCTAATGTACAGGAAATGGCAAGGGTGCATCAGAGACTCACTGCGCATAAGGCTATTTTGCTGCTATGGGAACAGGGCCTGAGCGTTTCCCCTCATTTCATTTTATCCGGGATGAGTTTGAAACAAATTGGAGGCTGGTGGCTGAGGTAGGTGGAAAGTGTGGGGTTTGTTAGCAGCAGCAGGGATCCTTTTTCTTTCTCATTACCAGTCGCTATGGCAATTTAACAGCTGCGACGCACACTTGTAAATGGCTCCTACTCTCTTCACGATGAACAAAAAACAAAGAAAACAAAAAAGCACAATCTACGGATTTATTGAAAAACGAAATGAAGGTAACTGTGTTCTTAAAAAAAACATGTGCTCAAGATTTATAAGGAGTAGTCCGCCGTTACTGCTGCTTAAAAAACGCTGCGTAAGTGAACAAGGGAAGGAAAAGGTTATCGGGTGTGCTTGAGGTATAGCTTTAGTGGAGATATACCCAAGAATTACTGCTTCTTTCTCTTTTTCTATGTATATACTAATGCACCATCTTGTACCATTCCAACATCAAACTTATGTGTGTAATACAACATCGTCCTTTACCTGCACAAACCATTCGTATTCACAACAAGAACGACGTAGCAATCGTCTTCTCCATTACTCAAACACAATCATATACAATATGACGCTGATCCACAATTGGCTTGCAAAACATACAGCCTGACGCGAATACTTTTTACCTTTTGCATATACCAATGTTAACATTGCCGGTCTTTATGGATAAATGAGCTGTAGATAGCAGGAAGGATAACTGACGGGTTTCTTTCCTTTTGTGTTGCTGTGGATTGGATGAAAATAAAGTATGATGACCGTTATATAAGAAAGATAACAAAGAAGGTGCTATAAGAGTTATACAAGTGCGAAGGATGTTGTTTCGTGGTGAAGGATGGTTATTGTAATTATTGATATTGCGTGGCAGAGCGTCTGGTGCCATGCACAGCCTCGTGTTTGTGAGCCCATTTGTAGCCACACAATTCCGAGATGCAATCCTTGAAGATCGGCCATCAAGCAATAGGAATGAGTGCAAGAACTCCACGTACAGTCGAGTGAGAGAGAGCGTAGCGAATGTTGTAAAGGGTAGTAACTTGTCAGTTGTTCATAGTTGCTGTTGTGATAGCAAAGAAACTTCCTCCTTCATAACAACAAACGCCTTTTCTTCTTTGTCCCTGCCATATTATCATCATCGCTCACAGCTATATCTAAAGTTTTCGTAGAAGCACTTGTAATAATATGCAATCCCATCTCACACCTGTTTACGCAGACAACTGAAATATAATGACGACATAATGTATGATCTTTTACTTTTATTTTTTTATCCCAACCATAACATCTACAGTAACAATAGTAAAACCCTACATTCCTCCCATCAGCATATATAGCTACCTTATCCATCAAGACAGCAATGTTCGTGTTGGCATACACAAAAAGAAAAAGGTAATCGTCGATGCCATCGTGTGTGTGCGAGTACAGTGAATTGCAGAGGAGGATTATAGCTGTGGTAGTGTGTATGCATCAAAGGAATATAATTATCATTACATTGATGTGTATAGAAATAGCAAACAAAGAGATGGCCGTCATTACGATGATGATGTGCTTGAGCGTACAAGTATCAAAACAAAAGACCGGCGTCATAGTCGTCATCGTGTAATATGGGCGTACATGATAGCGAAAGGCAAATGCGTCAGGCTATATATTTTGTAAGTCAATGGCGGATCAGCGTCATGTTGTATATGATTGTGTTTGAGTAATGAAGAAGAAGATTGCTACGTCGTTCTTGTTGTGAATACGAATGGTTTGTGCAGGTAAAGGACGATGTTGTATTACACACATAAGTTTGACGTTGGAATGGTACAAGATGGTGTATAAGTATATACATAGAAAAAGAGAAAGAAGCAGTAATTCTTGGGTATATCTCTACTAAAGCTATACCTCAAGCACACCCGATAACCTTTTCCTTCCCTTATTCACTTACGCAGCGTTTTTTAAGCAGCAGTAACGGTGGACTACTCCTTATAAATCTTGAGCACATGTTTTTTTTAAGAACACAGTTACCTTCATTTCGTTTTTCAAATAAATCTGTGGATTGTGCTGTTTTGTTTTCTTTGTGTTTTATTCATCATGAAGAGAGTAGGAGCCATTTATAAGTGTGCGTCGAAGCTGTTGATTTGCCGTGGCGAATGGTAATGAGAAAAAAAAAGATCTTTGGTTGTTGTTTTTTCCCTCCCTGCTGCTGCTAACAAAACCCAATGTGTTTCAAACTTAACCCAGGTAAAATGAAATGTGGGGAAACGCTCAGGCCCTGTTTCCACAGCAACAAAATAGGCTTATGCACACAGTGAGTCTCTGATGCACCCTTACCATTTCCTGTACATTAGCCTACAAGATTCTTGTTACAGGTGAAACAGCCATACTACTACATCTTAACATTGGCTTTGTACTGCTTAACTTCTATTATGTCTTGACTTGAATTGAAAATCTTAAGTACTCAAATATTCTGCTCTGCTACACTTAATATATTATCTACTTCAACTTTTATTATGTCTTAGTTGACTAAAACTATGTCCAGGTTGACTGTTATTATTTCCAGGTTGTCTATTATTCATGTTTAGATTGATTTTCATTCATGTACAGATTGATTTTTATTTTGTCTAGATTGATTTTACTCATGTCCAGATCGATTTATATTCATGTCCAGATCGTTTTATATTCATGTCCAGATTGATCTTTATTCATGCCCAGCTCGATTTTCATTCATATCCAGCTCGATTAATATTCATGTCTAGCTCGATTTTCATTTATGTCTAGCTCGATTTTAATTCATGTCCAGCTCAATTTTCATTCATGTCCAGATCAATTTTCATTTATGTCTAGATCAATTTTCATTCATATCCAGCTCGATTTTAATTCATGTCCACTCAGATTAACATTCATGTCCACTCTGCCTAAAATTAAATCCCTTCTGCCTAAATAAAAGTTCAAACGTCTGCTAGGAGATGAAAAATCCTATATTAGTAATATACAATATGAAGCATTCAAGGATTTTTTATATAAAATATTAAATATTAACCCATTTAATAATATGCTTTAAACATTTTCTACATAGAGAATACCTAAAAAATATAATTTTATACATTAGTTTTATTGCACCTTATATGTATCGTAAACTATAATTTAAACATATATTATGTATTTATAAAAAAGTATTCTTTATATATAAATTAAATATATGTATTAAATAGAATCAGTAAGATAAACAATATTTATTATATAATAGATAAATACCATCTTATAGAAAATATAAAAGAAAAGATATAAAATAAGACAAAAGATGAAATTTAATGAAAAAAAAACTTTTTGATGTATTAAATTGATTTATTTGTAAAAACTATAACAATAAAGTATTTTATTATCAAATTTGTAATGAAAAAAAGAAAACAAATATATTTAAGATTATTAAAAAATTGAAGATAAAAAATATATATGAGATGATAATAATCAAGAAAAAATATATAATAGCAATAATCAATTATGAAAATCTGAATAAAACATATGTATTAAACATGTGTGAACTGTCTTCTGATTCAACCAATTTTTCTTATATGCTAAGCACACAATATATACGCTTTCCTGGGGAAAACCTGGGCAATTGCAGAAGCAAGACCACAATCGTCATCAGTGACAAAAAGATGGGGCTTAATTCTGCAGCTGTCTGGCCATGCCAGTTAGCCGAGTGTTTTCAGTATCCAAACATAAGACAAAGCCTTTTTATCTGCAACAACAGCTGTTCCAATAACAAACGAACGTAGACTACGGGCACCTTTTGTGGAGCAGAAGTTATCAATACTAACGATGTTGACGACAGGCATTTTGTTCATGTTTGTTTTGTATGTAGCATGAATAACTACCACCTCTGGAAACATTCTTGCGCTCTCGATGCTTCATGGGTGTGTGACAAAAATAGATTTGACTTTTTTTGTTGCACTTTTGGTATAGTAACGTACAATAAACTTATATGACTTGAGATACTCCATGATAGTGGGCAGCTCATGATGTTGAGCATCATTGCTTTCCAGTTGAGATTTCAAGTTGTAGATATCTTTTGCAGTGAAACGGTTATTTCATTGTAATTGTAATATCTGACAAGGCGGTATCCTTGTGTCTAGTTCAGTGGCAATATCGACTTGTTCATGGCCCATTATTGCCTGGTACGACGCGTATATCTTGTTATCTCATATAAGTTGATGATTGTGTGATAGTATGTCAGCTACTGCTCTCTGTACCTTCCGTTTATAATTTGTCTTCTTACAACAGCTGGCGTATATCGACCACGAGCACTGCATCTTGACAAATCGTTGCTTATGATACCTCTTTTCCATACCATTCGTGTAAGTATAAGTTCTTGGTTTACACATTTCAGTGTCATCAGACCTGGTTCTTGTCTCTTCAGTATCATCTCTATATTCTTTCTCGTGTAACAAAATATGGCTGTAATTACTCCTATATCATAGATTATATTGCGGTGTAATAACCATACCTGACAATTATCTGCTGCCATCTTATCTACTCGTGCTGCTCGATGCGGTTTATAGGCACCACTATGTTTGCAAGTTAATTCGCAACCTTACTGATGACCAAAAATCCATTACTGAACGCATAGCTGTCTACTGCTTCTTTCAGATCGTTTAAGTGTCGAAACACAGCTCAGTAATGGATTCCATTGTATTCTTTGTGAAGAAAAAAAAGAAACACGACAAAAGAACACCTTTTCTATAGTTTTAGCTACGTCTTTTTGTGCTGACTAAGAAACTGTCTCGCTTGTGCTTAATATATTATAATACTTATGTTGATACAAAGTTGTTTGCTTGCTATTTGGATACATACCATGCAAGAAAAATCCTTGCAATCCTCGCAATCTGGGCAATCCTCGCGAACTTTTGAACTCAGTGTAGTATCCCTAATACCTATTTAGTATTTTGGTGTAACCATCAGTGGTCAACGAGTAGACATAATAAAATCATACCCATTACTATAATTATAGGTAAAAAAGAATGTATTTATTGATGATATGCATCTACAGTCATGTATCTTAGCAAAGGACACATTTAACGGCTACTAGCTGCATATCCTGAGCTTTTATGCTTTCTAGTAGTACATGGCTGTTGCTGCTGAGTCGACAAGGATGTTGAAGGAGGTTGGGTGGGAATAGAGAAAGGAGAGGCGGTTGATGTAGAGGAAATATCAGCAGTGGTAATGGCAGTAGTAGGAGCAGTAGTTGTAGTAGTGGCGAAAGGAGTGTAAGACGAGGATGTGATAGCAACGCGACTAAATAAACAGAGAGTACATTAGAAACTAATATAAAAATCATAGCATCAAAACAAAGATACTTACCTCTCTTGAGTCGCCTGATTGTTGCTAATGGGTGCCTGAAGATCGCTACATTAAGAAGAAAAATACTTTTTAGAACAGAAATAGACAATATTAGAGAAATTCATGAGCTTACAATTGAAATTTGCGATCTCGTGGACATCGATTGGAGTTGCATTGAGCTACGATTTCCACTTGGGAAAATTTCTTTAATGTTACTATTAATGATTAGTATTTGTTTCTTGTAGGCAACGGAGAGATGAAGTGAGATATGCTACTATTTGATATAAAAAGCTATCAATATAACTCTTTTATAGATATGTTATGATGGTTTTTGATACCTCTTCTTAACTGTTGCTTCCTCACAGCGGTGATCATTCCTTAAGTGCATCTGGAAAAAGTAGCGAGTAACCCAGTTGTTCTCGCACTTATCCAAAGGCACTCAGTACATCCTGGCCATCCAGACATTGTACTGTGCCATCTTGTGCAGTACCTTGGCCTTAGAAAGAAGGCTGTCTCTAAGTCTAATAAGAGTTTCTCGCCCCTCGTCTTCCTCCAATCCTTAATGATACCAGCAGCCTCTTGTGCGGCCTCATTGTAGAGCGTCATGTAAAAGTCCTCATCGTGAGACACACGCACGCAACGAAATAGTCTTTTATGTACTGAGCGGAAACTGTCCTCTTCTTACCTACATCATTGAGAGGGGTAGTGATGACGCCTCCTTTTAGAATGCATAGTGCGCCTTCTGGTAAATGGAAGGATGCTGCGACTTCCACTTAACTTAAACATTGTTGCTGCGGCTGTTAATGCAGAGAAGAAGACCAATTTGAATACATTCGCTGAAACTCATTGGAGGTGAGAACGGTGGGAGTGATGGTGCTTTGAGTGTTGGAAAGTGTAAATAAGTGAAAGCAACATGCATCGTTATATGCATAGTAAAATTAAACTCTACTCTATTACACATTTTTAGAAAGTGTGTCATTACATATGCACCAATATTTACGTGGATTGCAAGGATTTTTTCCCATGGGAGGTTAACCCTTAGTTACAGTTTTCATTGAAAACTATTGGTTAAGAATTACTTAGGGCTTGAGATTTATTCATATAGTTGAGAATATTTAAAATTAAATTGTTTTATATATAGAAAAATAATATATCAAAAAAGGAAAAAAAAACTTTTTTTTTTATTATTTACATAAAAGGGAATATTTCCTTTTATAGTAGTTATTATATATATGGGATTTATGTCGTATTCTTACAAATTAAAAATTCTTATATTATTATTTATAAAAAAAATAAATTGTTTTTGTATTTTCTTAAATGAGAAAATTATAATATAAATATATATTAATTATTTTATTGATAGAAGTCACCCATAAATGGGTTAAAAGCTTACAGTTGCGAGCTGATTTCTATCTAATAAATAATATTAATAAAATATCAAAATAAAAATAATATTTTTATTTTTCCTACCAGTAAACATATTGACAAATAAAAATAAAATAAATGATCATATGATCATTTTATTTTACCAATGAAATTTTAATTTCATTTTTTTTTATTGGTCAAATTTAAAAATATAAATTAAGAAATAAATTTTATTTATTTCTACCAGTAGAAATAGGATTAACCTATTTCTTTTTTTTTAACTTTTAGAAAATATAAAAAACTAATAATTAATTATTGGATTTTTTAATTTTCAGAATTATACTTAATCATATTTTTGAATAACTAATGAAAAATAAAGATAAAAAAATTGATTAGTCAATCATTTTTTCAATTTATTTTTATTGAGTTATTCTACTAGTAGGAAACATAAAAATATTATTATTTATCTTTTTCTTCAAGTCCTAAAAAAGAAAGATTATATAACATCTGTAAATGAATTAAACAATTGTTTTATTTCTTTTTCTATAAGTCTTAAAAAAGAAAGATTATTGGATTTTAATAAATATAAAAATCATATAAATAGACCTAAAGAAAAAATAAATAAAATAGTTTCATTTATAGACATTCCTATTGAAAATAAAAATAATATAAAATTTATAAAAGAATATTTAATCATAAAAAGAAATTTATCTAATAATCTAATAAACTATTTAATAAATAATAGAAAATTATCTTTTTTCTTTTTTATTAATGATTCTATCAAAAAATATGATGAGTTTGATAAAATTCAAACCTTTAGCCATCAAAGATGGTCATCTTATTTCTGTTTGTGACTTTAATATATATAAATTTAAACTCTAAAATAAAGAAATTTTAGTAATTTATATAAATTTTATAATATTTCTCAAATATAAGGATAGTGATTAACCCTCATGGTGTCATGGAATTTTAACACCCAAGTTACTCAGTATATATCATCATGGTTCTGTCGTGTGCAGGGTCTTTCAAACTGCATAAGCGACGGCGCACACAACAACTGCAGAGTACTAAACTACCAAAAAAATAGGGCACCCCCCCCACCAAAACACCTTTATTAAGCAGAGAAGGAGTTATGGAAAAATTATTGCCATTTTTGATGAGTCTTTTTCATTCATAAAGCCCATACTATTAATCATTCCATACAACGACAGGAACATTCAAGGCACTCATCCAGCGATTCCTTTTAAAATTCCTTTTCAAAAAACACTCTAAATTAGGCCGTGTGTGGGCGAGTAGGTAATTTTTATGCAACGGGACTAATAGTCTTAGCAACAATTTCAACTGGGATGAACAAAAGGAAACTTGTTTTGCTTTCTTTTGCTTATAATGTAGTTGACAAGACTTGAACAAATATGCAAGCGTTCAATGCTTTCACTAGAGCTGACAAAGAGACAATCGGAATTTACAATGTAAGAGCATCCCCAGCAGTTGTACCAAATCCCATCCTAAATTTGGAGTCTGTTATCATAGGGGGACCATAGAATTCACATATTTTCCCAGCGGTTGTGCCAATTTCGTGTTCCAAAATTAAACTTTGCTGTAAGACTCCTTTCTGACTCTCCCATTAATTTTTTATTTGATTCTTCAGAAAAACATGGAAAACCAACTTAAGAGAATGCTCGAAGAAGATGCCAAACGACGCATTCGCCGTCGCTCATTGGCACGTCTCATTAAAACACTCGAAGAAGATTCCGAAGACGAAGAGCAACCAAAACGTAGAGGAGGTTCTGTCGCTGGTCGCAAAACTATCAACCGTAGTCGCGTCGAAGGTTATGATAGACTTTATGCTGACTACTTCTCAGATGATCCAGTGTATCCTGAGAGTCTGTTCAGACGTCGTTTCCGCATGTCCAGGAACGTATTTGACAAGATACTCAAGGGGCTAATAGAAAAGCATTGGTACTTCCCTCAAAAGTACAATGCCGCTTTGAAACCTAGATTGACGCCCTTGCAAAAGGCAACTGCTGCAATCCGACAGCTCGCTTACAGGGTCTCAGCTGACACAGTGGACGAGTATGTACGCTGCGGTGAAAGTACGGCTCTACAATGCCTGGAGTACTTTTGTGAGGGCGTGATCGAGAACCACGGTGAGGAGTACCTTCGAAGTCCAACGAAGGAAGACCTCGACTGTATCCTCAAGAACAGTGAAGGGCGCGGATTTCCCGGCAAGATCGGGTCTCTCGACTGCATGCACTGGGAATGGAAGAACTGTCCCTCCGGTTGGAAGGGACAGTATCAAGGCAAGGAGAAGGTCGCTACGATCATTTTGGAAGCCGTGGCTGATTACGAAACATGGATATGGCATGCGCATTTTGGCCTTCCTGGGTTCTTAAACGACATCAATGTCCTCCACCGATCCCCATTGTTCAGCAACACTGCCTCTGATTTTACGCCCGCGATCAAGTTCACTGTGAATGGTCATGAATATGATAAAGGGTATTATTTGGTTGATGGCATTTACCTACCATGGGCAATGTTCGTCAACACAATTTCATACCCGGTCGAGCAAAAGAACAAGGTAAGAATGATACCATAAAACTCAATGATCCCTTTACTCACCTTATATACAGCTTTTTGCTAGAATGCAAGAAGCTTGGCGTAAGGATGTTGAACGTGCGTTTGGAATCCTGCAAGCAAGATTTGCCATGATCTGACATCCAGCAAAGCTTTGGGATCTCAACAAGCTGGCCATTATCATGAAGGCATGCATTATCATGCATAATATGATAATTGAGAGTGTCCGCGAAGACCGGGATGAAGATGAAGAACGCGAGGAAGTGAGATGTGAAGGGCCTGTACCATCTTTGGTAATTGAGAGAAACCCTAACACGATGAGGGAATTTTTCCAACGCTACAGTGAGATCAGAGATGAAGCTGTTCACAATCAACTGAAAAAAGATCTCATTGAACATTTATGGGCTCATCATGGCAACAATGCCTGAAAAATATATTCTTTCCATGTAAATAACAGTATGAACAAACAGTACTTTGACTTTAAGCAAATGAGTTCTTTTGTATAAACATTTGTCAATAAGTAGCTTATGCTTCCACTTCCGCTTCTGCTTCTGCTTCTCTTTCGTTTTCAGATCCATCTTGTCCCTCTTGTGAGACATAAGCATGGTCTTCAACTTCAACTTCGGCTTTGGCTTCAGCTTCAGCTCGAGCTTCAGCTTCTTCCAGTCTCTTGAGAGCCTATCTCTTGCGTTTCAAGAAATAGGCACAAGAGAGCTCATCCATGCCTTCCAAATTCATGCTCATCAAGTTGTTGTCAGCGAGCTCTCGTTCCATGTCGAATCTTTCTCTGTCGAGAGAATATTGCTTTCGTTGGAGAGCCAAGGCTTCGGCGTTGCGTTCGTCACGTTTACGCTTGTGAGAAGCCTCTTGCTCCTGCTTCTTGGCTTGCTTGCGACCAACTGGACGAGCTTGACCTCCTTCGGCAGGGACACTATTGCCAGTTGTCTTCTCCACGTAACGGACCAAGAACTTTGGCTGGTTATGGAGGAGCTTGTAGCAATAGTCAAGCTTGAAGCGAGCCTTCTTCGTTGGTGATGTTTGCCTGAACAAGTCTTTTGCAAGGTCGAGCTACACGATGACAATCAATGTAAATATTTGTAATTGTGGTAGTGCTGTTAGGATAAATGTTTATTTACCAATGACATATCATTCTGACCACTTCCTTGTGTTGCTGTGACCTGCGCTAAACAGCCACACAACCGAGCTACTTCTCTTTGGATGTTACCCCATCTGCTCAACATAGAGCCAGGGGTACTTCGGCGGGTTATATCGCCTCCTTTCGAAATGAACTCATCATGTACGTCCTTCCAAAAACCCGACTCATTGGGCTTGAGACCGCTACGCTGATCCGTGCCTTATGCACTGTTCATAGTCTTATCAACCCAAGCCTTGCACAGCAACGTATCCTCTTCAACGGTCCAACCAAAGCCTCGAGTGGAGTTGGTGGTGGGATTGGTGGTGTTAATGTCAGACATCTTGTTCGAGATTCTGTTTACAGAAGACTTTAATAATATGCACGCCCTGATTTTAATTTTGAAACACGCGTTTCAAATTTTGGGATCAGCATTGGAAAAATAGCAAATTTGGAATTGGCATTTGGAAATAGAATGACTGCTGGGAATAAAAAATTCTATTCTAAATTTCAAATTTGGGATTTGGCACAACTG